CATAAATCTTTGTGTTCTGTAGAAATTGTCCTATACCTTCAGAATTCAGAGAGCTTAGTATATTCACATCAGCAACATCTAGACCTTATTAGATTTTTTACACACATGCACACACGTGCTGAAATGTGCACACATGTGCATGCATAGACCATAACAGTTTATTAAGCTACTTGGTTTCCTTCATATGCATATGTAGGTTTTTACATTTGCTGCACCTTTTTTAATCTCCAGTTTCTTCTCTGCCTCAGCTCATTACTTTCAAAGAATAATCTAAGAATTTATCAGTTTTCTGACATTGTACTTACTCTGTCTCATAATGGCTTCTATTCCTGTGTCGCCAGTACCCCATTGCTTATCTAGCATCAATAAATATTTATACGTTGAATGAAAATGAATGGGTAAATGATTAAAAGGGACCAAGGAGAGAAAGAAAAAGAGAAAATGAAGTTTATTGTCTTTCAATTGAAGAGGAAGATTCTCCATGAGACAATTACAAACATTTTTTATTAAAGACAGCAAAGTCATTTTCCAAGAGGCAGAGCCATAAAGATATTTTCAGTGGATTGTTAGGAAGTGAAATTATTACCGCCATTATTACAGCTGTCACTAGGTTTCTGTGCTTCATCTGTCTGTTGGTAAGTGTTTCTCATGCCATTACTGTAACTATACGACTGAGGACAGTTTTCACTGTACTGCCCCCTATCTCTCTCACACACATTTACAATACACACACACACACATACACACGTGCACGCAAGCACACACACATACCATTCTTAATGCTACTGACTTTAACTCTTACTCACACTACATATTTTTAAAAAGGGGCCATTTCAGACAGTTTGTACTGGCAAAATAATACACCTATCAGAGGCTTTGGCTACCTCTAATGGCTGCCCTGAGAATCCAGAAACACTGGATGGACACAATCAATCCAGTGAAAGACAGAAGAGGCAGTCGAGGTCTCCTCTGGTCTCTGCTGCCCGGGATTCAGTAGCTGAAGACAGCTTCTCTGGATGTGACCCCAAAAAGTGCACACACTGTATTTTCAACTCATCCTTCTTTCTCTTTTATTTTGTCCCTGCCCTAGTGTCCCTGAGATTGTGTTTTCCAATCAATTGTCAGCACCTAAGAGTTGGTCTAGCTTCCTGATGCTACAAAACTTAGACTAAACAAGTCATTTTAAAGACATCTTCAAATGTTAAGTATGTTGATTATTTTTACAAATACAAACACAATGGATGAGAATACATTTAGTGAGGACATTTGCTTATTGACATTGGGCTATGTTGGCTCCTGAGTTGCAGAGAGCAGTCCTGGAAACTGTAGGGAGAGTGAGGAAGACTTGGAAGGCAAACAGCCCAGTCACAGTCCAAGGAATAATAGTTCTCATTGTGTAGCCTCGATGGGAGATAATCAGAAACACATGGCTCTCCCGAGTCTAAACACAGTCCTCAAATAGCCATGTTTCCAATAGAGGAGCATGGACGGAGGAGATCTCACCCATTATGTCTGTTGATAATTTAATATGTTTTCTGTGTTACGCAATGTTAAGACTTCAGCTTCCATGAAAATGGGTAAATCTACAGAGCAACCTGTCTCAGTGAAGACAATATAACTAGGTTTATATCTTAAGTTGGAATGGTTTTAAGACACGGCAGATTATTAAAAAAGATTTAAACAACCAATGTTGAGAGAAAAAATCTGGAAGAAATGACAGTATTGCATCTGCTTAACAAGGCACATTGGAATGTACACGTGGAAAAAGGAATTAAAATTTGGCCCAAAAGAGGGGCAAGTGCTTCCTTATGGAAAACTGGCAGATCAAATACTGTGATCTCACTGGCACTGGGAACAGCTTTCATGTTGAATTGGTTCCCAATGGGGAAGGTGTCGAAGGCAATGGTATGGTCTTCAAATATCTCCAGCTGTAGAATCCCTTTTACCAGGTAGACAAAGTACAGAGAGCTCTTCTAAGAAGGGATTGCAGCCCAAAGACCAGGAAATACTTGCTGCTTATTCATCGATGAACAACTGTGATTAGAGAAATATTCTGCTTTTCTATGTTTTCCCTTAAGGTTGCTTTTTATTTGTTTGTTTGTTTGTTTTAACATCCTCCTTTGAAGACTTAATTAAAGTTTTTTTTTTCATTTTAGGTTTATTTATTCAGAGTCAATTGATATGCACAGAATGAGCAGTTAAACAGTGAAGCATAGAGGTTGTTAAGCACTTTCAGGGGTCTTGGTGTGTTTTTAGTTCTGAATATCTAATCAAAATAAATTATTTGCTCATGGAGATCTGTATAGATATATACATGCAAGAGTTTGCACTCAATTTCTGGTGTTTAGAGATCTTTTATATATCCAAACAATTTTTATAGTTAAATTCAGTGGTTTTAAGCATCTTTTAAAGCATTTAAAGATGGGTGGATTCAACCATAATAAAATTAGAGATTCAGCTAAGTTGAATATTTTAACCTATCAGTAAAAGTAATGACAAATGTCAGAATGTATAGATGAAAAGAAAAAATCTACTTCTGTAAGATATCATTTCTAAGAACTACTTCTAGGTCTTCAGGAACACCCACCTCTACAGTGCCTTGCTGTTCACTTCATTAGTGACTTTAACAAATCATTATTTTTGACAGAATCTCTGTAGGATTCTTAATGAATTTCTCTCTCCACCTTAGATCTCTGAATGGATATTTAGCCACTGCATCTGGTTATTACTTGACTCCTCTGGAAGATACACTACAAACAAGATTTGTTCATCTCTGGTTCTGACTAAGGCTTCCAGGCCACCTTCTTTCTACCTTCTTTGCTATCAGCAGGCTGCACTCATTAAAATCAGAGGTACAGAGTAAATGTTTGGCAACACATTTTCACATTCACTGAACTATGATTCTCAGTTTAGAATCTTGCTTATGTTTTAAATATTTAAGGCTGGGAATCATTTGGGAGCCAAAACCATCATGTGTTTGGCATTCTTTTGGTTGAAGAAAATTCTAGAGTGTATGTTTTTTTTTTTTACACCAGCAGCCAATAAGTTTCAGATGTTTTCCAAGGAGCAGGAGTTCTAAAGCTGAAATGGAATTTTCTGTGACAGTCTACAAATAAGAGCGAACATATGCTTAAGACACAAACAAAGCCAGAATTGGGGAATAACCAGCAGGGAAGTAAAGGAGGCTACAAGCTAATTAATGAATCATTTCCACCTAAACTTCATAGAAAATATTTAACTGTTTAAATGTTCACCTCACCCATTTTTAAAGAACATCACAATTACAAACTACCAAAAAGTAGCTTTTAAAATTCAGGTACATTTGTCCTAAGTCTCAAGTATTCAAGAAAATAATAAAAAAAAGCAAAGGAAAAAGTTACATAAAATAACCAAAGGTACATTCTCCACTTATTTCAGAACACCTGAAGGTTGAGTCAGACCTTGACTTGAGTCTTCCTTTAAAGATGACCCTGCTCTGTCAGAAGTGAACGCAATCTTCACGTTTTTGCTAACAAATGAATACACCCATGTGACAGTGTTCAAGGGCTCAGCATCTTAATCTACTGTGATTTGGCGTGCATTCCTCAAGTGATGGCTTCAGAAACGGTTATGCCAGTGCTGAGTTTGCTTTTACTTATGACTTATACTGTGGTAGGAACCAAGCAGATGGATTTCTGTGGGAGGCGGCAGGGCATTCTGTTAGCCATGTGGCTCACTTGAGCATCCTTCAATGGGAGTTGACTTGTTTTCAAGTGGAGTAACCCCACCTACTGTCTGCCTCCCAAGCTATCTACCCTGTGTTATGAGTCTGAAATGAAACAAACAAAAGAGATTATAAAACAACATTGTTGTGGTCCTGGAGGTGGTAGTATGGACAATAACCATGTTGCCACCCAAGATGAAATTCTGCTGCAAGCAACAACCAGGCTCAGAAACTCTGGCTAAGTCTACTTAGAGAAAGGGTACCTCTTACGGATCCCAAAGATATCTTGCTGTATACTATTTCAAGTGAATTCAATGGTCTTTCCATTACAACTTTTTAAATAACCAGTTTTTCACCCTTTTTCTTTTTCTTATTATACTTGACAGCGAAAAGTCTGTATTTGCAGCTAGGCATGAACAGAGTGCAATATTAAAACAGAAGTGTTACATGTTTTCTGGATTTGTATTGTTTCCTATACTTTATAAATAAAAATGGTGAGACTAACCTGACCATCGTGAATACAGAATGATCTCTTTTCTTTCCAACTTTGTTTTCTAGACAGTGTAGCTTATAGACAATATAGCTTAGGCAAACAATGTATCTAGCCTAGGCTGGCCTTGAACCCCTGGCCCCCGGCCTCTGTCTTTCTTGTGCTGGGATTATAAGCATGAACCACCACACCAAGCATAAATGCACACTTGGAAAAGAGAAGTCTCACTATTAAACACTGCCCAGAACTCTTTATGTAGAGGAACCTGGGTTAGTGCCCACTTCCTGCCTCTACCTCCTGAGTGCTTAGATGTTAGGTAGGGACACTATACTGAACTGGTGTTTCCCTAATTCTAAGAACAATTAAACTATATGACAATTATTCTTGTGGAAACTATAGTACTATTCTTTAGAAATGAGTACATTGGTCTAGAAACATATTCACCAAAGTCAGAGCTAACTTGGTAGACCATCAGATGGAATTCTGAGAGTGTCTTAGTCCTCTTGGTCTCTGCTCTAGGGAAGACACCCGAGGGTGACTTTTGTCTCTTATGTATAAATCCTCATATTTCTTAGATCTCTCTTAGAAAGCATTTCATTTCACTGAAATGAAGATCATGTCTGAAAGATAAAGGGCAGAACCCTTTAAGTAGGTTTCGGAAGTTTCTCAGTTTTTATATAACACACCCAGTCAGCAGGTCACTTTGGGCTGTTTATACTCTGGCTCCCTTTCGGACCTCATGAAAGTTAATTTTAGTTTTGCAGAAAGGAGAGAGAGGCCGACTGCTCAGGCTAAACTCAGACTTACCTTCCTGATTTCCTGGGCATTCGCCGAGAGATGGAAGCACCGTTTGTCCCGTGGATAGTCTTGCTCGCATCTGCTAGCCTGGGTTTGTGAGGGTATGCGGGGACCAGACCTAGGAACCTCGGCTGCAAGCTTCTTAGCCCCTCGGAGTGTCAGGGTCTGGTAAAAGAGACAGATTGCCACCACCAAACCCACCAGGAAAGGTCGGGGGCAAAATCGCCGGCGACAAAGGAACCCTGGTCGACAGACCATGACCAGTTCACCTTCACTTGGCCCCTGGCCACGCTGTCAGCATGAAAAAAGTACACTTCGGTCTTCTTTTTGCACAACTCCAATCAAGTTCGCCCCAACTCCCCTTGAGAACATTCCGAAGGTTCATGCCAAAGACTCACACAGGTCCCAGCGGTCCGAGGTGTTTAGAGCCCTTTCGTGAAGAACAGTAAAAAGTGACCGACTTGCTTATTCTTTTTTTTTAAGATGTCAAAATAATGAGAGTCGTAAGAAATCATCCGAATGCATCCCGGGCTGGCAAGAGTTTCTTCCGGTAATATCTTATTTCCACAACAGACATAAACTTAGGAGTTCAGCTTGTCTCAGCTTTGGGGCAAAGAGAAAGCGCAGTAAAGCGGACCCGAGTCTGAAAAGAGCCCCGAAGACGCAGCAGAGGGAACGCGAAGTGCCTGTTGCACCGCTGGGCGCAGGCCAGGTTGCCCTAGCAGTTTCTCATTTTCCCTCCGGTTTGAAAGCCGCCCTGCTCTCAGCGGTTTCTGAACTGCTTCCCTTCGTTCAGTTTTCAATTGCCACTTTGCTGTCAGCATCCGCGGCCTTTAACACAAGAAGGGAATAGCAGTTTGAGTGTGGAGGGGTTACTGTCAGGGTTTTGCTTGCCTTTGGTCGCATTCTGCTTCAAGTTCAAAGTTCTGTGTACTTACTCAGTTTTCATCCTTTTAGCCAGAATTTTTTTTTTCCCCATGATTGCTGATCAAAATCACTTGGAAGGAAACACCCAGGCGTAGGACTCCACCTCATTTCACTCACACGCATGGACACACACGCGCAGACACGCGGAGACACGCGCGCGCCAGCTGCCCACAGGGCCGAGAGCTGGGGGACCTGGGCCATCGCTGCCACCCAGGCCGAGCGGGGCGGAGCTAAGCCCAGGACTCCTCTGGCCTTGGGGGCAGTCCGAGCCGCGCTGTCAGCTCTGCAGCAGCAAACGGTAGGCTACCGTGCTTGGGGGAACAGCAGTTAGGGTCGCCTCTGAAACGTGGCTGCCTCACCAAACCCACGGAATTAGAAACATATTTGATGCCCGATCGATCGCCTGTGCCTCTGCACTTGCCTAAGACAGCGCTATAATAACAAAAGGCTCCTAGTCGAGAGCTGCTAAAGGCCCACTCGGAGTTGACGGGGGAAGGTCATCACTCCGGGGAATTGTGGTCACGTTTAAGAGGACAAGAGAGTCGTTAGGACAGTCTGGACCACAGATCAGGAAACATTCGAGTAACTGAAAGTCCCCTCTCCACTCCAGCACCGAGTGCTACCGCAGATATTACTCCTCCCTTTTGAGGTCTTTCCAAGGCAAAAAGCGTGAGGTCTGGCTTTTCAAAGGAGCTGACTGTAACAGGTACTGAGTGTTCTAACTTCTGCCCAGGGGAAAGGGGTACGGAGCAGGCTTAATTTAAGTCCGTACCGACTCTCTCATGGGCATTGACACCAGGGCCGGTTGGCAGCTCCCATCACTCTGGGCTCGGCAGGGCAGGCTGAGGGACCATCAAGGAGAACTTTCAGGTCCTTGCTTTGCCAGCTCCGGCAAGGACTGGTTTAAGTTCACAGAGGATACTCTTCAAAGACTTTAAAACCTAGGTAGTTTCTACACCTTAGGTCTAACCGAACTTTTTCTAGGCAGGCGTTCTCCGGTGAGGCCACTCTCCTAGAGTAAGCCCATAGGACTCAGCCGTTTGTCACTAATATTTTGTGAGGAGGAGCGCCCCCTAGAGGCTCACAGCTACAACAGGGTCAGAAAAATGGATTTCTCTTGCTAGCAAGAGACTTCATTTATGAGCCAGCTTGAGATAAATGAAACTGTGTCAAAAAAAAGTTAGTACCTCAAAACAAATTAATTACGTAAATTAATTAGCCATGCATAATTTCAAGTCTTTTTGTAAAATGTTTTAATAATATTTGATATATAAATTCAAAGCTTTTGATACCATGGCAAATGAGGGAATGAGAGAGAATCAACCTGTTTTTCACATTTAGGCATCGAGAGAGCATTTCTGTTGCATGCCATAGGTTTTTGGTGGATTTAATATGATTTTAAGACTAGTGGAAATCACTAGACTTCCAAATCGGAATGGTTTCTATGCTAGCAAGGCCCAAAATGTGGTAAAAAGCTATTTACTGGGTGAAATAAGCCACATAGCCATTTATTAATATTAGGGCTTAAATTCTGAAAAAATTCAAGGTTTATGGAAGGATTTTTTAAAAGATCCTTAAGTTCCTGAGTCAGAATACCAAATAGTAAAATGGATATCAAGTAGAATAGTCTTCGAATGAATTGGGAGGAGGGAAAGCCAACAGAAGAGAAAACTTTTAGACAATGTTGTCGATTTAGTTTGGCCAAAAGGAATCCTTAGTTCCGGTAAATTGAAGAATTCAATTCCGTATCTTGACTACAGAGTCCAGCGGAGAAGAAGACAGCCAATAAAGTGATACTGGAAAAAGGAAGGCGTTAGTTAGTTAGTCAGAACAAGAATGTGGCAAAGAAAACATAGGATCCAATGGAATGAGACTCCAGGACCACAGCAGGCATTAGAGGAGACCCACTGTGGACAGAAATCATCATGTTCACCGTTTACCAGCTGTTCTGAAAGAGGAGTGTGGAATAGTGAAGTCCAGGCTACCATCTGTGAGATGACCTTTTTGGAAGTATCACTGACCAGGTAAGAAAGCACCTGAGCATTCAAACAGCTGGCAGGTGCACAGCTGCTGGGTGTTGGCTCTCCAGGCTCAGTCCTCACAGAGCCTAGGATGTGGTGGGGTGTCAAATCAGTGAGCAGATCATTTAATAAATGAGCCACAGGGGACATACAAGAACCAGACACAAATTCTGGCACTAATGAATTGTTCTCTTCCCATCATCCTTTGGGACGAAGGTGGGAACAGATGTTGGCTTGAGAGGATGAACTTGTGGGCTTTATGCCTGAGATTAGACATAGTTGAATTGAAATTTTTAAAGGCTCGATAAAGATGGAAGCATCATACATGTTAATGCAGTACCGTGGAAGGTTTCTATACTTGCATATAGCACGCCATTTATGTCAGGTCAAACATATCTAATGACTCGTTGTTTATCATTTCTTTAGGGTAAACCCTTAAGAATTCCTCTTTGTAGCTTTTGTTAACATGTGCATCATCTGTAGTCATCTTATTGCACAACAGCACATTAGAAATTCCTGCTTCTAACTATAACTTAGTGCCCGCATTCTACTCTGGTTTTACGTTCCACCCAAGTGGGATCACGCAATCACTACTTTTCACACTTGCTCTCTTCCACTCAGCGATCTCCAGTTCTGTCCATGTTGTCAGAGCAACAGGGCCTCATTCTGCCTTTGTATCTGAATGGTGTATCTATACCTCACTGTCTGCACTCACCAGCTGAAGAACACAGGAGCTGTTCCTGTCCTTGGTTGCTGTAAATAGTGGAGCAGACAAAAGTGTGAGTGCCCTTTAAATACGGTCTTGTATCTTTTGCTTCTCTGCACAGCAATGGCATTGAGTGACTATTTAGTAGCTCTATTTTTAAATTTTTGATGAACCTGCAATCCTTTGCCCCTAGATATAGTAATTAACATTCTCACCAACACTCCAGCTCCTTATTCGTACTTGTAACTTTGCCTTCTGTAAAAGCCATTCTCATGGAGGTGAAGAACATCTTGCTATGGTTTTGATTTATATTTCCCTGTTATTAGAAAAGCTGATTATTCTCCCATATATTAGCAAGTGATTTGATACATTTTTTGACAAATGTCTAAATGCAGCCAATTTTTTCAGTTGAGTTTGGTTTTTTTTTCTTCCTGTTGCCTTTGAGTTCTTTGACTTCTTTATATAGTATATATATTTGAATGGAAGACTAAGCAGAGTTATGCTGGAGTCTGTAGGAGTCTGAACAGGAAACATAAAGACACATATTGGCTCAACAATGGAAGCAGAAGAGCACATCTACAGTACCATTGTGAACTGGGGGTTCTGGCATTGTTTCAAATTGGATGCATTTGTGCATCAAATTCATCAATTACCTTTTCTACAAAAAAATTAGTCTTAAAAGGTAGGCATTTAGCAGCACTGAGAGAATAGAATGGCAAACATATTCTAATTCCAAAGTTATACAGAACAGAACAGTCTACCACAAAACAAAATCCTTCAGTGATCTTCCCAACACATAAAACAAGATCTTTCATTGCATATCTAGCTACTTCTGGGTTTGGGTATGGACTAGAGGTCCTTGACACTCAAATAATCAGTGAAGGCTTTTTGCATGTTTTATGGGGTTGGGCATCAAACCCAGAACCTTGTACATGCTAGATAAGCCCTCAACCACTGAGGTACCCTCGATACTTGGTTTTTTGTTTTCTTTTCTTTTTCTTTTCTTTCTTTTTTTTTTTTTTTTTTTGAGACAGGGTCTCACTGTGTAGCCTGTGCAGACCAGGAGTTGCTATGTAACCCAGGCTGGCCTCAAACCTGTAATCCTGCCATTTCTGCTTTCCAAGTGCTGGGATTATGAGAAGTGTATTTACGGTATTAATTTTTAGAACTGGAGATAAAATATGTGTAAGAAGCTTCCAGTGTTGGATCAGGATCTTTAGGAATATCACATAAATCCGAATCTCAATTTCATTATTAACTAGGGGCATCATGATCAATAAATATCTTCAAATGTTGCTTGATGATACAAAGCTTTGCTTCTTGTGACATATTTCAATGTGAACATCCTCTCTGGTGCAGTCTTCTGGGTTCTGCTGGCTTCTTCCAGGGCACAGCATTTCTCTACAGGGTGTTGCTCATGATAGTGTAAAACCTGGCTGCAGGTACTCATGGTGACGTTGTGAGTCAACTGTTGGGAATGCTGTCAGCAGTGATAGGTCCCTTTAAAGTCAGACTATCTTCTCAGCTCCTATCATCTCTCAGGAAACGCTCATTCTGGAATCTTCCCAGTAAGCTCTAAGCATAAGTTAGTAGTTTTAAATCATGAGTCATACATTAAATCTGTTCAAAAGACATCCTAGACTCTATGGAAGAGAGAAGACATGTGACAAGGTCTATAAATGACTAGGGTAAGGCAACAGACTGGTCCAAGAAGGATGACTAAACATTTCTAAAATCTCAGTGGCCTAATGCATTAAAGCTCACATCTCGCTCATACAACTTTTTATCATTTCTGTTTCCACTAAGACATTTGATGACTTCTTAGATACCCACCAGGCTAACACAAGAGGAACAAGAAAGAATTGGCTATCTCTTAGGAAGACAGTTTCAGGTTAGCAAATGTCATTGTATTATCAGGGCCACTGAAATGGACCCGCCCTGTGGGGAATGTGCTTATCAATAAACCTAGGAGGAAGGAAGGGAGCTGACATACACGGCTAAAGTGAGGACAAACCACGCATCACGTGTCCTGGAGAAACAAAAGAGGGAATTCCTATCTTTCAGGAAGTGGTAAGAAAAGCTTCAGAACAGGGGCTTTTTCTCAACTGGCCCTGAAGAGTCTCAATAATTTCAACTGCTGTCAAAGGTGAAACACGGACCTAACATTCTAATGGGGAGCTACTGAAAATAGAGCTGGGAAAGTATTAGCTAGAGATGGAAGATGGCTTCAGTAATTTCCAAACTTAAACTTATTTGGTCTTCATAGGCAAACCTTAGGCATCCAAGAAGTTTCTTAATGGAGGATATGATGAAGGTGACAACAGAGCCATTGTTATCAACTTTAACTGTAAACACACAAAACCAAGCCTCTTTTCTATTTCATGTGGAATAAAAATAACGGGGTCAAGGTCATGGATTCTTCTCTGTGGTGCAAATATATGTACAGAATTGAATAGAAACTTTTCTATGACGTGTGCTCTGCCAACTCCTTTGTTCCTTAAGAGGCAGATGCCACACTCCAATAACCATACACAAATGCACCTCTTTAAGTGTGCTAAGCAAAGCTCTGCATCGCAGACACTATGATTCTGTTTCAGATTTAGCATCTTGCATCCTCTTACTAAACGGAACAGCTTCTGTCCCTTGCTCATGGAAACTGGGAGAACTGTCCACAACTGGGCTCACATATGGTTCTGGAAGTACCGTGGCATTAGTCAAAGAAATCCTAAGGCATGGACCACGAAAACAATGCGTTCTTGGTTGTTTGCTGTCTGATGCTTGAAGCTGTCAACATTTGAACATGCTTACTTTCCTTTCTACTCCCCTTGCTTCTCTCCCAATCACCATGAGGAGCCACTTCTCATCAGGATATGGATTGCAACGAGAACTTTCTAATAGGACAAAGATCTGAGGATCACGTGAAAAAGTTAAGAAGAAAAAATAAAGAAGGCCCACACTGCAACACTGCCCGCTTGCCCAGTGTGCGCCCACTTTATACGTGAAGGTCAAGGCAGCTCGACTTCTTCATGGTCGCACTGTTTACACTTTTGGTTTGTTGCCGTAGGCAAACCTTGCAATCTGCACATTTCAATATGAACAATCTGTCCTGATAGACCGAAGCCTCTGAAGCAAACGCTGCTGACTTTAAATATCCCTCTAGAGCAAGGCTTGCAAACCACACATCACCCCAGGGATTCCTTACGTGAACACTTGGTGCCACCTATTACAAATGAGTCAGCCGCTTACTCCAGAAGTTTCGATGGGTCATTCACTTCCCACACCTGTCTCTTGATACGCATTTTGAACCAACTCGCACTGGCACCAAATTTCTTTCAATCACTGTGTGCTGTATCTTATTTTCATCCTGTGCTAACACAACTGTAGTGTGTAAGTTGCTTCATGCCAAAGGCTATTTTACCTCTCTCTATCCTTCTGTTGTATCAGAGTGTCTACCTGCAAGGGATTGCTTTCAAGATTTGCACTGTGGAAACCTACACATTACTGCTTAAAACACTTTGTATCATTATTCCCCTTGCTTTCCTAACGATTTCGCATCTTGGCATATTTGTTTCAGGAAGGCAGTTTCTTCCCCAGGGAAGAGTTAGTAGTTTCTAGAATACAACCGGCATTGGAATACTTTTGGCACCAATGCCACTGGCTTTTAGTGCAGAAGCCCACAGTTGTTATTAATTCTGTCCTCTAATGAAGACAGCCCCAAATCAATCATTGGCAGAAAAAAAAAAATGCCAAAAAGTGCTGAGGCTGGGAAATTTCAAATTTAACTGGAGGGGCAGTTTCCCAGTTCCCATCTGTAGCTGCCTAAGATTTGTCTGTTGCTTCTATTAGGATAGTGAGTATCTCAGCGGAGGCATGGCCAGCTTCTCTGTGATTTTAGCAACTTCCTGGGTATAATTACACAGATCCTTTCCTCCCCAATGTTAATTATAGATATAGAGCTTCTTTTAAGCATCTTAAATGCCTTTCACATTTGCATCCTTTAAGCTATATATAAGCTGGGTATGGTGGTACATGCCTAGAATCCAAGCACTCAGGAGGCTGACTCAGGAAGATCACACAAATCCTAGGCCAGCTGGTTCAACAGAGTACCAGCCTGAACTGTGGAGGGAGGCCCTGCCTCAAAATACCAAACCAAACCAAACCAAACCAAGCACCCCCCTCAAATAAAAACAATGTGGATATTATACACACTTATGTCTGTTGATGGAACTGGATGGTCAGATAAGCAGATAAGAGGGGAAGACTCAATGGGTACTCAGGATGGGAATCACTTAGTCAGTTGTAGTAGGAAGCCGCTTGTTTGTTCCCGGCTGCCAGACCATGAAATAATCACTCAGAAACTATATTATTTAAATCACTGCTTGGCCAATCACTTAAGCGTATTGCTAGTTAGCTCTTATATCTTTGGTTAACCCACACCAGCCAATGAATACTATTTTTTTTTAATTTCTTTAGGACAGGCATTTACACACTCATAAGAAGCCAGAATTTGTTCTTAACTGTTCAATAACTAGAAAATGTTAGTATGTTTAGCTTTTGCTATAAAAATATCAAATTACATTCTCAACAGAAATCTCATTTGTCTTTTCTATAGATCTGCAATATGGATTCTTTAGAGACAAAATTTAAAATGTAGCAAGACAGCTATGACTTTGCTACTTCTTACATCCTTCCCACTTTTACCTTCCTTCTCTTCCTCCCTTCCCAGCTTCCCTTTTCTTTAGTGTAATTCAGGCATCTGGCTCCATTTTCTGGAAATAAAGATATTCTGAGACTTCTACAGCATTAAACGTCACAAATTGACATTTATGCATGGTGTGGAGAGGTGGAATGGCTTGTGGCTCACGAATGCTGGCCTTCATTTAGAAAATCTGAGATTAGGAGGTAGCATTCATGGAGGAGAGAAGGTGGCTCTCTGGTCATGTGATCATTACAGAAAGCTCTCTCCCATTTTGAATCCAAACCGAAAGATCAATACATATGCTTTACTATTTTTTCAACAGAACACTGGACTTCCCTTAAAAACATCCGCAAATGACAAACAGCAGTAAAAGCAAAGCCCTTTGCAAATTGGGGAATTGGTAACAAGTGTCTGTATAACCAGACCCTCAAGCAGGAAAGTAACTGACTTGTTCCAGAGCAACACAAATGTCAAGGACAGGGACATATATTTTGGTAAATTCTGATGTGACATACCGGGAAGGACCAACTAAAACCTACTACCAGCTGCTAGCAGATGTCCCCCATTTACACTCAGGGTTACACAGAAGCATTCTTGGCTGAACTATTACACTGCATTTACCAAGTACGTCCATTTCCTGCCCTTTGACACCTATTGCAATTGTTCCTATTTTAATGTCCCAGTGTTGAGACTGCCTCTGCCGAGCAGATCTAACAATGCAAAATATTAAGTCATGGCCACTGGGGTTTTGTTTTGTTTTTGCTTTTCTCTGTTACTGTATTAAGAGCCGTGTGTGCTTTAAACAAGTCCATCTTTAGAGGCAGCAGCCACTCAACTTCCTAAGCAGAGTGTTTATCATTTCCTAACAACGGCGAGTGGACATGGGGAATGGCAGTGAGAACCCGTTCACAGCTTATGTGACCCTCATCCTTGCTCCCCACACCAGCTCTACATCCCAGTTCCGGTTGTCTGTAAGCCATAGAAAAATCAAAATGAATTACAATGTTCTTCTCTAATTTCCTTGTTAGGAGTGAAGAAAGTAGGAACACTGGATTAGCCCAAAACGGAATTTTATGGCTCTGCCGATTACAGTGAGGAAATGATTAAAATTCTTTCAAATAAGAATTCTAATCATGCGGAAGCTTGTAGCTAAATAGTTACAAATAACTCAGAAAACATATGTGGCTTACAACTTTAAAACAAACAAGCAGGAAGGAGTATAGTTTTTCCTTATCCAACTTGAACTAAAAACAACACCCTAAAGCCAACTAACTCATTTTTAAATCAACACTTCTCTGACAGAATCAAATCTCAAATATTTTATTAGGTATAAACCAAAACCCAATTCTACAATTTAGACTCTTTTGTAAATAAGGAAGCCTGTTGGAATTCTTATTTGCTGTTCAAACATAACTCAGTTATAACTGATGGTGAAGCAGGCCAGATGGATGGTGGCCTGAGTTCAAATCCCCAGAACCCACATAAAGTGGAAGGAGAGAATATGTTGTGGAATATGACTTTAACTAGGCAAGATTTGTTATATTTGTTTATGCTGCATTTGTTGAATGATGTGTTGTTTTGCCTACCTATGGTACCTGATTGGTCTAATAAAAAGCTGAACGGCCAATAGGCAAAAGAGGGATAGGCATGGCTGGCAGGCCGAGAGAATAAGTAGGAGGAGGAATCTAAGCACACAAGGAAAGAAGAGAAAATAAGGAAAATGAGTGGGAGACGCCCAGGGCCAGCCAGGCAGCTGCTAGTCAGCCAGACAGGGAGACGCATAAAAGTAGAACATACAGAATGAAAGGTAAAAAGCCCCGAGGCAAATTGTAGATGAAGAGAAACAGGATAAATTGAGTTATAGGAGCTAGTGGGACAAGCATAAGAGAAGGCCGAGTATTCATAAGTAAGAAGCCTCCATGTCATGATTTGGGGGCCAGTGGTCCTAGGTCTGCTACAAGAACCAACTCTGCAAAGTTGTTCTCTGAACCCTACGTGTGCACTGTGCCATGCCCCCCTCCACCCACCCCGCCCCTTTAAAAAATAGGGTAAATAACTAGCTTAAATTTAACAGCTATCAATTTCCAAGCTACAGGCTACTTTGGAGACATCCGTGCTTTTTAATTGTTACCAATGATTTTTAATCATTATTATGGTTGAGCAACAATCGGTAAATATCCCCCCTTCTACTACAAACTATCCCTAGGTTAAGTAAAATGACCTGCTTAAATCAACTCTTGCTCAGCCTCTGGATTCTGCTGGACATTGTACCTCTCTACTTCAGGTCTACAGAATGCAGATTACTGGTGCCCGAGAACACATATGCTCTGTCTTTAGGATACAGTTCAAATGATTCATCCTTCAGGCTCCCTTTTTGCTGCAATAATCAATTCCCCTGCCTCCCAACGTTCCCGCAGTGCTTTTTATATTCATTATAGCCTTTGCCAAAATATTACAATTTTTGTCAGCAAGCTGGCTTCCATCATTTCAACAACACACACTCCTTAATGTATGTCATTCTAGGCACCGGAGTGCTTGACAGGTGAAAAGTTATGCAGATAGCTCTCAGGTTTTTTCTTAAAGCCTGTTTGCTGAAAGATTGCTTTTAATGTAAACAAGAAAACGGCAGTATCCACTTATCTAGGTAGCTTGTCTCTTACGATCCAAGTTTAACAAGCAACAATTTATATAAGGTTAAAGTTAATTAATTGAATGAACAAAACTATTTCTAAAGTCCAAGGGACTTAGACATTATACAAACCTAACATCGTTAGAAACTTAAAATACATTGAGTGCGCTTTTAAGGAAGAAATGAGCCAAAACTGGCTACCCTTTAAAGAGAATGACTGTAAGGTTATCAAACACTCAGCTTCATGTAGGCATTTAATTCAGCCATTTATTGCTTCAAATGTGTCACCATGGACATTTAAATATACACTACAGGAGTAAGGCCTCTTTTTTTTTTTTCTTCACCACCTATAAACTGTGAACTCACACTTGGGCCTTTTGTGCCACCCACTGTTACACAAGTTTTGTACAACAGAGATTCTGAATGTCCTTGGTGTAAGTGTACAAAGAACATTAATCGCTGGCCGTGTTGCTTCGATGAGGTAGTTCCATGTTTGGCCATATATGTATGTAAGGACATACACATATACACAGCTATAGAATTTAGTGACAGGTTCTACTCATGTCTAAATACTTAGTGTCAAATTTTGGTGTATTTCCTTATGTATAGTTGGTAAGAGAATCAATGCGTGGTCTCGAAGCTTGCTGGCATGTTTTCTCGGTGACTCAGGAGGCAGAAGGGAGAGGAGCTGGAGGCAATGAGCGCAGGCATGCCCCTGTCTTGTGAAGGGACTTTCTCTTAAGATCCAGAGATTTCCTCTAGCCAGTTGGCAGTGAGAGACTGAGTTTGGAAGAGTCACACCGGGTGCCTACAGGATGCAAGTACCTTTCATCTGAGCATCTCATGATAGCACAGGACTGAGCTAACAGAACACAACTGTATACATGTCTTAAAGGCTCATGAAATCCCCATGAAAACACGATCGTGAAATCACACCCTTGATGACACAAAATACCAAGGACCATATAAACCTGTCTTGGAGGCCAACAACAGTTACAAAGTTAGCCCGTGGCAGCTCAGCATCACAGGATCTTAGAGCTGGACGAAGCTCCTAAAATCTACCAAAGCTCTACCCTTTAGGTAGCACTACACAGACTTCACACTGCCTTTTGATTAAGTTCTAAGAGATTCACAATGGGCTCCATTAAAACACAAAGCTTATGGACTTCATACATTTCAATAAAAAGGAAGATTGATATAATAACTGTCTGTGACGGTTCAGCAATTTCTCCACCCATCATAGTGGACATATTTTAAGCGAACCCTCCATTATGTACAGCCCACCATCTCAATAGCACCTATGGCCAAGGACCTCAGGAGCGCTCCGAGGACCGCCTACAACCAGCATTACTTTGGTTTCACAGAGCCCAGGGTGATTAAGACTTGAATTAACTCCCACATCACCATGTCACAGAATTAAACACAGAGCTGAAATTTTAAGGTCTCTTTAGTTATATTGGTCACACGGCTTCCAATCCAAACATCTATAGTCATTATTTTCACTTTATCTGCTGTAATTAGGTTTCTTTCTCATCCTTAGAGTCAAAGCAAAGCCAGAGAAATATCTTAGAAAAATACATTTGACACTTCGAATTTACATTAAAAATGTCCTTCCCTTATTCCATTAACACAATTTCCAACCATTATTATAGAAATCATAGATTACATAGCTTCTGCATGCTAACCGCTAATCTTTTTTAGATTATGAAAACTAGAAATAAATTGCAATTAAGAAATTTTCACAATTAATTGTGTAAAGTATAAATACAAGTTATTTTTTTAAAAACTTTATTTTAACACCTAATACAATTCCAATTTAAGGATTACTCGCACAAAAAAATAAACACATTTGGTATAAAAATGTATCACTTTAACGCCCTTTCCCCCGTAGGCCCCCACCCCCACCCTCTTGAGCTGCACTCTATCGGGATGCAGAACATAGAGACTAATGGCACGAATCAGGTTTCACCTACAGGACTTTCTGTTTATGTACCCAGGTACTCTAGAGGACACCAGCCCACTTTATCACATGAACCAATCCCTTCAGCCTGCTGAATGAGTTTCACAAAGAAACAAAGCTTATTATACAGGCATCTTAAAAACCATTATCTTAAATCCTTTTTAGAAGGACTGAATTTTTTTTTTGTTTTTTTTTTTTTTCCAACCATTTATATACAGTGTAACATAACAGCTCTGGAGTACAGTACATGCAGCAGAATATACCTGTTGAATACAAAATACTTTCTTAAAATCTTCATCGTTGGAATTCTCTGAAGTTTAAATTATAGAATGCCCATTACTTTGAGAAAATGGTTGAGGAGTACAAATGTCTGCGTATGTTGGCCACAGAAATAATCCAAGGCTAACTGGAATAATATTCATAGCACACAGGAGTGCATAAATAATTTACTTACATTATTAAAATACAACTCATAAAATTCAAGTTCAAGGTCTTATAGAATTGTCTATGTAAATCCTGTAAGGTTGCCTGGAAATGAGTTGCTTCTTCTTCCCCGTGTCTGTCTTTCTAGAGTCCCGTATAAACGCCAAGCCGAAGCTCTTCCTCGCTCCAGGGAAGCGCCTCTATTTGTGCCGGCTGCCTCTTCTCTTCATGGCGGCCGTGCACTGTGGACAGTACCACTTCCCCTTTGGGGCCTCTGTCAAGCCAACACACCCATAGTGGAACCACTCTATCGGACACTGGAAAGCAAAAATAAAAACAAAGTGTCGGTACTTCTAAAGAACAAACAGCAGAAATGCTCAGGAAACAGAGTACTTCTTTTAACTGAAATTAGATTTGTGCAGTCATACTTCTTGGATCCTGGCAGTGCCTTAGAGGTTACTGAGTCCAACTGATCTACCTCATGGATAATGAAATGAAATGAAAGCACAAAAATCTCTGGTAAAAAGGAGGCGCATGGACTCCACGACCTGCGCACTACAGAGAGAACACTCACTCACTGTCATCAACTCAGGTGGCCAGGCAGAAACATCTTCCAAGGAAAAAGAAGATGAATCTTATAGGAAGAAGGAATATACGCTAAGATGTAAAGATGCTCAGACATCAGGAAGTGGGATGAGCTGGCTGGAACTAAAGATATCGAGAGGGGTGGCTGCACTTCCTTCCTTTCTGCTGCTCTATTCAGAGATAATGGAGAAAATCCTCTGTGAAACATTCAGAAACTCTCCACTCCACCCACAAGAGCACAGGAGGACCCAGAGGGACCCCAGGGGACATGAGGACATGAACTCGCAGTCAGTATCTTCATGAGCTACTAGAAATGGAGGGACGGCACTGCTTTGAACAGCCCCCATCTCTCTCTCTCTCTCTCTCTCTCTCTCTCTCTCTCTCTCTCTCTCTCTCTCTCTCTCACACACACACACACACACACACACACACTCACACACACATGACTACACAGGGCAGCTGGGGAGGGCTTGTTCCCATCTAAAGTCACACTGTTGTCACCCTGTCAGGGAAGGAACACACAAGTGTCACTGCATTAAGCCATTCTGCTATTCCTTAGATATTTTACAAATTCCACTCTTGTTAATATTTGGATTCCAATACTGCCGGTGCTTCTCCTTGCCAGCAGTTCCAAGCTACTCCTCACAAGGAAGAGAAACAGAGGGAACTGCTGGAAGGCAATTAAGGGACGAGTCAAAACCACTGCACAAAATCTGCTCAGTATTTAGTCAAACACCCATCTTTAACCAAAATTAAGTCCTTGCTGTGGTTTGAATATGAGATTCTCCTGATAAGCTCCTGTGTCTAAACAGTTGGTCCCTAGCTGGGAGCACCGTTTAAGAAGTTTCCAGAACCTTTAAGAGAGGGAGCCTTGCTAGAAATACTTCACTGGAGATGGGTTTTGAGGTTTGTTGGCTGTCTCACTTTCGACTTCCCGTGTGGAGGTGCACTATTTAGTATCGGGCAGCTTGCTGACTGCCAGGCCAACCACACACACCTGCTGCCACACCTCCCTACCACGACGATGCACCGTTCTCCTCTGGAACCATAAGTCAAAAAACCTTTTCTCCTGTAAGGGTATTCTGATGCCTTCCTTCAAACTGCCTCTCATTTTCCCACCAGAGATGGCTTGTACCAGCATAAGTCCCCAGAGGAGGGAATGCTGAATGCCGCAATAGCAAGAGGGAAATAACCCCATATTAGGTCATTATTCCCAGGCATCATCTGCCTATAAAAATGTATGGCCTTAAAGTCTCATTTCTTCAGTGTGGTAAACAGCCTGGACTCTAGCAAACACAGTATCTTTAGCAGAAAGAAAAGAAAACACTTAGAACTGCAAGAAGTAACTCTTGAGAATTTAATCTGAACTGTAATACTATACCACTACCTTTAAAAATATTAAGCAGGGAGCTCATGAAGGGAGTTGTGGACATGGTCCCGCTGTGGACATGAAGATGCTCCCATCAGGAGTCATCATACATGAAAACCCGATTTTCAGATTGGGAGACACAGTTCTAAGACAGCTACTCAGTTACCTACAACTCTTTACATTCTAAGAGAGAGAACTGTTAATACTCACATCTTGGTTATCACACCCCACCATCTCGCCGTAGGATACCTAGTTTAAAGAAAATTAGAGAAACTTATTATAACTATGTAATTAGCATCTAATCTAAACTAGGTGTTTCTGATGTCAGAGAACAGAGAGACACTCACTGAAAATACAAGTGAATGTATGGGATAAGGCAAGAGGATACGTCCAGAAACCACCTTTCTTTGGAAGATGGAAAGACTTCACCAGGTAAACCACCCTGACTGGGAGTCAGGTTTGTATCTGTCCTTGGGCTAAAACTGTAAACTTTCTTTCTGGCTATCCACCAACTGATGAATTTTATGTCCTCTTGGGTCACTTCTGCATCTGAGTCTGAGTTCTGACCATCAGAGTCTGCTACTGAGATGCAGCAGACACCAGGTGTCCTCAGTGACTCTCCACATAAGTTTCTGAGACAGGGCCTCTCAAACATTAACAACATGCATAAAGAATCAACAGAAAATATGGCCAACTTTGCTAGAAGTTAATTTACAAGAAGATAAATGGTTTTAAAGCCAACTAAAATGACCATGGGACACAAAACTTTCAAACTGATGCATTGTATTTAAAAGAAAGTAATACTTAGTGCTGGCCTAGGCTTTAGGAAATGTTATAAATATCAATTTTAGGTAGTAGAAATATATGTGTGTGTGTGTGTGTGTGTGTGTGTGTGTGTGTGTGTGTGTACACACAAATATATGTATGTATCTTGGTAGACTGTACCAAACACTTATAACATCATTGTATTTGATTGAATTAATATAAAGCTAGTATAAAAGCAATTACAATAAAATGATGTTTATAATATTTGTGATTTAAAGGAAATGAGAACTATAATAAAATCTACAGCTAGGGATGGACTAAATAAATTACGGTGCAAAGCAGGAGAGCTAGTTTTGAAAATTTTTTTAAAAAGAACCTTGTTTCAGTGAGCAAAAGATCGTTTTATCATAGATATACAAGCATACCACATCCATATATATTATGTGCACATAACTGTTATGGAATGAATGTATTCATTAAAATTCCTATTTTGAAGCCATAACCCCCTATAACTAAAGACTGGGCCTGTAAGGTGTGGTTATGGTTAAATAAAGTCAGAATCTGGTGGTTCCAGTGGCTTTATGAGAAGAAACAGTGAAGCTGGCATGTGCTTGCATATCTGCACGACATGTGTCCCTGTCTCTGAATCATGAATACTCAGGAAAAAGACAACTGGCTTCAAACTAAAAAAGTGGTCCCTTACCAGAAACCCAGTAACAAGCACCATATTCTTGGATTTCCCAGTCTCCAAAACCATCATGAGATGAATTTCGGCTGGGTAAACCACTTGGCCAATAGCATATTACATTAGCCAACATACATTCAAGGTACATACTGGTGTGACATCAAAGTGTCTCACCATAGGCTGGATTAGAAGGCTGACATTCTGTGTGACTCACATGTTTCTTTATATTTTTGGTATTTACAGCAAATATGCTACTTTTATAAGAGGAAAACTACGCAAATAAAGTCACTCTTGATTTTAGCTGGAATAAAAATGTGGTGAAAAACGAAACAGTTATCTTCCTTCCTGTTTATTCAGACTGCGCTTTTATAGACAGGCTCCGGGCTTTTACCTGATTACAGATGCAATATCGAGGTTCATTTGGGTCATACGTCCAGTCAACCTGACTGTTGGAATCAGACTCGGGCACTACTGTTGTCTGCTGGGAGACTTCTTGGACTACAGTTGAAGATGAGGAACATAAAGATAAGGAAGAAGAGGAGGAGGAGGAGGAGGAGGACTGCTGGCTTGAAGACTTGGTGTTGTTTCTGGAAAAAAATTAGAGAAAGATCAGTTTTATTTGCTCATTACAAAAGGTCCCCTAAGAGTGACTCCTAGTAACTGACATGAAGGGAAAGGACGCATCAATGCCTGATGTTAAAGAATCTCATTCAGAAGCAATTTCCCAGAGCAAAGAAGGCAACATTGTTTTCAATAGTTATTTACAAGTTTTGATTTCTGGAGAATAAAAGTATTGAGAAGAAAATTCTTTAAAAAAATCTATTTAGAATAAATAAAAGAAAATTCTTTTAAAATGTTTTCAACTTATAAAAATAATTTCTAAATTAGTTACTATCTACTATTGACTTAAAACTTCTGGTAGTATTAAAAAATAATAGCTATACTATCTCACATCATATTTTTACAGTAAACCAAACAATTCTCATTAAAACCTTAAACACAAATATACAAAGTAGGTGATGAAATCCTTCTAACATCAGGGGCATGTGCTCTATGCCTACCAAGTATAGAACATGGAGCTAAGAGTGTCAAAATTCGTGAACTGCTTACCACCAACTCTATTCTGGAGTTCTAAAACACAGTAACTTATTATAAGGAGTTCAATTAAATTTGGGCAATTGTATCAATTTTTAAAATATGTAATATTTCTGTGGATATTTTACGTTGATCATTCTTTCAGGAATTTTGTAGAGAAGTAATACATTTAAAAATAAAATTAAAATACAATTATTAGATAATTTTTTCTTTTTTTTATTTATCCTTCTTTCTTATATTACATTCCCCCCACTCCTGAACTTCTAGCTCCTCCCCCTCCCACACTCCTTTCCCCCAGATCCACTCCTCCTCTATTTCCTTTCAGAAAAGAGCAAGACTTCTAGGGGTATCAACAAAACACGGCATATCAAGCTGCAAGAAGACTAGGGACATCCTCTCATATTAAGGCTGGACGAGGCAGCCCAGTAGGGAGGAAAAGGGTCTCCAAAGCAGGCAAAAGAGCCAGAAACAGCCTTGGTTCCCACTGAACACTAAGCTATACTGCAATAACATATACACAGAGGACCTCGGTCAGACCTACGTAGACTCCCTGACTGTAGTAGTAGGTCTGTGAGTCTCGACGGGCCTTGGTTAGTTGATTTTGTGGGCTGTTTTCTAGTGAGATAATTAAGTCTTTTGGTCTAGCACTTGTACCTTTTTATCTTCAGATAACAGGGACAGGGTCCCCGCTGTAGCCCTGGCTGGCCAGAGCTCTCTATGTAGATGGCCTTGAATTTGAGGTAATCCTCCTGCCTCTGCCTTCCAAGTGCTAGGCTTACAGATGAGTGCCATCATGCCTGGCTTGAATTTTCGATATGTACAGATCCCTGGTGTTTACATCATCTTGGATGAACAGTGGTACATGATAAGTTTTCATTTCCACACTTCACACAGTCAGCCTCAACCTCTCCCATACCAAATCTAGGGATATTTTCATATAATCAGTTTTGGGGACATAAGCAAAAATTCAAATACTTTACTATTAATCAAAACAAAAAATCTTATGTAAAACCTTCCTGGGATACAATTTGCACTTTATATTAATCAACAATGAAACACCTAAGTTAAAAATGGAAACAGTACCATAAAATGATCTATCTTAAAGAACAAAAGAAAGTGAAGTCACTTACATACAAACTCAGGAAAATTATAAATGACCCTAACACTTGCAAGACTTCCAGACTTCTAGGTAAGGCAGCGCAAACGCCTGTCTGCATGCCCCGGCGGTCAGCTTGGGCCGCTGCAGCCCGCCTTAGCTAATTCCTAGCAGCCCAGCGGAGGCTCCATGCAAGAGGTACTGAGCAAAGGCACACTTCCATCTCAGAACTTACTTGCTCTTTCGGCCACTTCGTGAATCAGCTGCTGAGGAACTGGCGTTCTGTGTTAAAGTTGTCATGAGCGCCGACGAGGAGGAATAGCCAGCTGTTTCTCTGGGCATTGAAAATTCCTTTCCCAGCTGAAAGTCATTATTCTTAAACGCCTCGTAACTGGCTTTTAAACTTGATGTCCTTCGTCCTTCTTTCATCTTAAGTAGACAGGCATTGACAGCATCAATATATGTAAATATAAATTTTCTCTTTTAAGAGTGACAAGTTATGGTTATTTAAGTCATTTCATGTAAAGATTCAAAATAATTTTCATGCTAAATTGAGGAAAACTATGGGAAATGGAATTTCTTAACTTGCACTGTGTGCAAACTACAGAAATGCGCAAACTGCAGCTAGCAGAAAGGCCGACTGTGCAGAAAGAACAGAACTGTCCTCACAAGGAGAGCAAGGCTACTTGGGCGCTGACTGGGGGAGTCATGTGCATGATGCATCACTCCCACCCAGCAGCCCTTCTGCGTTGTCACTAAAACACCACCTAGGCTAAAAGCCCAACTGTATCCTGAAACCACACAATGTCGTGTCTTACACCCGTCTCTTCACGCCTAGTGGCTCCTTGGGGTTTGCCACTGACAGGAACAAATGTAACATTTGCTTCTAAACCTTTGACTTTTTACCTGTGCTGTTGCTTGCACTGCTTGAGCTGCTGCCATGGTGATTGCCCCTGCACCTGTCCCTGAAGACAATGAGCCAATATTATAGGATGCCAGGGGTTGGGACGAATTCACATTGTAAGCATTGTTGGAGGAAGCTGTGGAATTATTATTTCGACAACCTGCAAAGAAGTAAAGGAATAAAGACAGTTGCAGCGAACATCATGTTACTGAGTTCAGAATGTATTCTTTCTCAGCATATATAATCATTAAATTCTTTAGGTACTTTAGGGATTGAACCAACTGAAAAATGGAAACCAATTGTTCTTTTCTATTCTCCACACGTAGACATGAACCAGGTGTACACATGTGGAATTACAACCGTGAGTGTTTTTCTATCCCGTTACTCCAACACAAACAAAAAAAGCAAATTATCACATTCAAGAAAACAAGCTTACTCAGTGTGTTCTCCTTAGAAGCATCAGATGTAAGGGTGGACAAAAGAGCTTCAGATTTGAATTTCTTTTCAGGGATATGATCTGTTGCTGTATGATGAGAAGTTGGATTATATTTTCTTTCTGAATAAAAGGAAAGAATTCACACAATTTTAAACTTTAGAGGACTACAGACAGGACATAATAATACTTGTACCTTTTTATAAACCAGCACAGTTATGATCTAGGTTCTCCAGGAAACAGGCCACTATGCTCACCAAGGAGGGACAAGCAAACAGCCTATGCCGTGTGTTTCACTGAGAGAGTAGATATGTCAAGCACTTTAAAAACCTTAGGACCAAAATACGATGCACTATGGTTTCACATATACCATGAGAGAAAGCTCATTTTAATATATATATATTTTTTGGGGGGGGTTCGAGACAGGGTTTCTCTGTAGTTTTGGTGCCTATCCCGGAACTAGCTCTTGTAGACCAGGCTGGCCTCAAACTCCCAGAGATCCGCCTGCCTCTGCCTCCCAAGTGCTGGGATTAAAGGCGTGCGCCACCACCGCCCGGCTTCATTTTAATATATTGACTATCATTTAAAATAACTTTCAATTTACCACCTTTTCCTCTTGTCAAAAAAAATGCAGCAAGGCCATCAACTAGCCAAGCACCCAATGATTCCTTTACGCACATGCTTTATGTAAGCAAGCCCTGAGAGTCAAAGCTAACAGAGACATAGTGATATGAAGAAATACAGTTCAGGTCAGCCATGATACTCTCTAGAATTGTAAGAAGCCAACAGATGCTGCTGGTATTTCTATATATTCTGCCTCTATGTTTATAGAAGAGATTGACTGTTTTCAGATTAGATACACTTTGCTTAAATGGAAAAGTCTAAAATCAACTGTGATAAAATCCTATTTTTTAAAAAAGAAAATGGAAGGATATTTCTCAATTGGTTATTAGTATGTGGAGCTAATAAAAGAGAACATATAGGTGACATTAATGAGTTTTAAAATGTACTCAAATCAAACTCACTTTCCACAGGAGTATGTGAATGAGCATGGTGATTGTTCACTGGCTGAGAAGGAGTATCTAATTCCAAAGATCCTAGAGAGAGGGGCACAGAGACAAACCAGGATTAGATGTTACCATAGAACTTTACAAACTAACCAACCATTAGCAATACGTCCCCTCACAGATGACCGCCAAACTCTGGTGCATAGTGTATCATCTTAGCTAGACACGTAGAGGATCACAACCTTCGATATCATCCTGAACAACCCTCTCTAAGCAGTAAGACTCATGTATCAGAACTCACATGAAGTATACAACAGCTCAAGGCATGCTAATGTCTAATTTGATGCTAGGTACCACATAAACAGGAAAAGGGGCATTACAGCTCTATGACGGTGAGATCTAAAATCTTCTCTAGTAACAGACTTGAAGACCTTTCAGTAGGTAATCCTGAAGGTCTAGGTATGCGGAGAGGATGGCATACAAAGAAATTCTTTCAATCATGAACATGAATGTGAAAATGACAACTCCAGAAAATAACTTAGCACTTTGCTTGCTCCTCATACCAAACTTTAAAATATTTCTAAAGAAATTCTCGGAGTTTATCCCTTGAGATAAAATCATGTCAGGGGGCAGGATGGAGCAGTTTTTGTAATGTGATCTGAGTTCCATTTCATGTATCTGTGTCCTTGGCGTGGATATTATATTAACCTTCCTGAAGCAGTGAGAAGGCAGGCTTGGGGTATTGTTACAGCTACCACCAGCATTTCCAAAAGAAAGAAAACCTCCAAGGTTATATAATATTCCATCTTGTTCCCCAATTTCTATTATCCTCAGATAGGTTTCCTCCGGAATAAAGGTATTACTAAAAGAGAGGACAATTGTGTGAATGTTGATCTTCTTTTCAATTTAAAGGTACAATTTTCCTGGCTTCTTCAGATGAACCTCACAAATCTGGTAAACATGGAGCTTGGGAACACTGCCCTCATGACACCCACGATCCGGCAGTAGACACAGGAACAGGTTCCACCTGGTAAGTGCACCAACGCCCATGGTCTGCTGGAACACTGTAACTGAATTCTCATAGAAGTCACCCAACAGTGACTACCTACCTCTTCTGGCCCCACTGCCAAGCTATCTGCTTTTATTTCACCTCGTTATATTGGAAGAGATTCTAAATCAGTTAAAAGTAGAGATCTTGATCTTTTTCACATTTTAAGAAAATCTCCAGAGTTAAGCCCAGGAAGTATTTGGTACTAAGTTAGAGCACATCAAGTTGAATCTTGCAATAAATGAATAAACAAATAAACAAACAAGCATGGCTTTCTCTGAGAAGGAGGTTTGGGAAACAAAAGAGCAAATGTTATGGAACCAGTGGATATCTCAGTACACCCAGGTGAGGCAAAGCCTCAAGATGTTTCTAAAAAGGAAAAACCCAATCTTTCTCAAACCTAAGCACATAAAAACAGACTTAGTTCATTTCTCACTCTTGGTACTTGCATTTCTTTGCCATCCTTCTTACCACTGATCAGATTAGCATATGCAGATATTAAAAATGGAAGGAATGTCAAATATGGAGCCATATACTAATAATCACAGTACCCTAGAACCTGAGGCTGCAAGGTTTTATATAGCAAGATCCGATCTCAAAGTGAAACACAGAATGAAAAGCCTTTGCATGTTATTTTCATAAAGAGGGAGTGGGCTGATATACTCTGTATTATGTCTCTCACTGTTTATGACTCAAAGACTTTAATACTAGACTTCAGGTTCTGAGACCCGGTGCCAACATCCGCCAAAGGGGATGCATAATTTGAAAGATTTCTGTGAGAAAATGTCTCCTTGGTGACTGACACAGGTAATTCTCTAAGGTAGATGGAAAACCATAAATTGTACTTACGCCTCTCTAATATTTCCGTTATCCCAGCATTATCAGCCTCAAGCTCCATTTTAAACTTTGCCAGTTCCTGATCCAGCTTTCTCAAGTGGCGGTCTACCTGTTTCAAAGAAGATAAAAGATAGAACCAAAATCTAGGACCCTGTTAGACTATAGTTTAAGAAACTTAACTCGTTGTTTCTTTTAGGGAATCTGCTTCATAGATTTAAGCAAGTCAATCAAATTACACATTAGGATGAATTGAAATGAACGAAATTTATGCCCTGGCAATGCTAACGCATGTGTGGCAGCCCGAGAATATGTTGGTTCTGTTGAACTTGTCCATATTGGGTTTCATGGTCTAAGTTGATGAGGACAACTGACCAGGTGTTTTCCTCAAGAGGGCACCAGATCTCATTACAGGTGGTTGTGAGCCACCATGTGGTTGGTGGGAATTGAACTCAGTACCTTTGGAAGAGCAAGCAGTTCTCTTATTGACTGAGCCATCTCTCCAGCCCAGGCTAACATTCTCCCAAATCTTATGTTTAAGAAACCAGAGTCTCAAATATGTTAGCAAATGTTATATGACCAATTTTCATAGTGGGGCTGTGACAATCCAAGCCAGTGCCAGTCTGGGGGCTGGAAGAGCAGCGACATTTCAAACTGGGCCTAAACTCTACCCTGGAGCCATTCCACGGTGCCATGCAGACTGCCTTTAGACCAACAGAGGGACAAGTGCAGTCAGGGCTACACAGCAGGAAAGTGAACCATTATCACTGCAAACATTTCTGTAAAGGCTCAAACAAAAGGGAACTTTACCTAAAAAAAAAAATCTTCATTTCTGAAAAATCTTGATTAAAATGGTTTTATTTCTAATACTACTACTGCCTTAGTTATGATGGCAAATTTTTATTTTATGATTTTCTTATAGATCCTTCAATAACTTAGGAAAATCATGATAGTTTTAATAGTAATATCCTAATACATTTGTAAGATTAATGTCAAATATTTTCCAATATTCTTCCAAACTTACTATTTTAAAAAGAATAAACAATCCATCAAATTATTTGACATATATCTTTATTACAACACTGACAAGATCTTTTTTCAAAATCTATCCTCACTGGATCACTGTTAGGACTCGGACAGCAGAGGATGGAGAACTGGCCCTCTGGTTAGAAACACTTGTGCTCTAGCAGAACCTGAGGTTAGGAACCCACCAAGGTCAGGTGCCTAGCACCCGTTTTTGGTGACTCCCAATCACTTGTGGCTCCAGTTGCAAGGGATCCAAAGCCCTGTTTTGCCTCCATGGCACTGTGCTCATGAGCACAAACCCATATAATCGATAATCACAAACATGCATAATTAAAGAACAAAGTCTCCAAATAAAACACATGCTGGGCATGGTGGTTCATGCCTTTAATTGGGGAGTAGAGGCAGGGGATCTCTGTGAGTTCCAGGGCAGTCAGTGCTATATAGTGAAGTCTTCTGCTCTCTTCTCCACCTGTCCCCCAAACAACAACAAACCCAACCCAACCCAATCAATCCAAACAAACCAGAATGGCTTTGTTACAAACACCACAATGCACTACAACACAAAATGAAGAAAAAATTTTCAGTTGTTCAATTAAGTACTTTGTTTCTAACATGGGGAGGAAGAGGAAAACACCAGCAAAACACAAGATGCAGTGTGCCCAGGGACACACTGTGCCGTAGATGTCCTCTCAGTTACTTTTCTGTCGCTTTGATAAAATGCTGTGACCAAAAACAACTTGGGGGGAAAGAGTTATTTGAACTTACAACTTATAGTCCATTATCTCAGAAGTCAGGACAGAAACTCAAGGCAGGAACCTGAAGGCAGGAACTCATGCAGAAGCCTTAGGGGTGCTGTTTACTAGCTTGCTGGTTCCTCAGGACCATCTGCCCAGGGATGGCATCACCCACAGTGAGCTGGGCCCTCCCCTTTCCATCAATCAAGAAATGTGTCATAGTCTTGTTGTAGTGGTTTGAATAAGAATGTGCCCCCACCCCACCCCCACACTGGCTCATGTATTTGAGTGCTTAGTCACCAGGGAGTGGAACTATTAGAAAGATTATAAGGATTAGGAAGTGTGGCACTGGGTGGGTGGTGGGGGGGAGGAGCACTTTACAGTTTCAAATCCCATGTCAGGCTCAGATCAATCTCTCTTCTCTTCTCTTCTCTTCTCTTCTCTTCTCTTCTCTTCTCTTCTCTTCTCTTCTCTTCTCTTCTCTTCTCTTCTCTTCTCTTCTCTTCTCTTCTCTTCTCTTCTCTTCTCTTCTCTTCTCTCTCTCTCTCTCTCTCTCTCTCTCTCTCTCTCTGCTTACTGATCAGGATTCAGGATGTAGCTCTCAGCTTCTGCTCCTGTGGCCTACCTGCATGCTGCCATGCTCATTGCCATGATAATAATAGACTAAACTTCTGAAACTGTAAGCAGATCCCAATTAAATGCTTTCTGTTTTAATAGTTGCCTTGTTCCTGGTGTCTCTTCACAATAATAGAGACCCCTGCCCGTAAGACAATTGAGCTTCCCTCTTCCAAAATGATTCTAGTTTGTGTCAAGGTGACATTAAAAATAGCCAAGACAGATGTTCTCACCCTAAATTTTAAGACATTACTCTTTCCAATTTTATAAGAAAAATCCATGGCTCAGATGGGTTTAGTAACATGCCCAAAGTTATACAGCTTTTGTATTACAGACATAAGATTTAAATTTTACCTATATAAGATATATTATGCTTTATCATTTGTCTCTAATGACTTCTGAAACTGTGTACAGGAACCAACTGTTCCTTTTCTTTTTAAACTCTGAGACACATAATTCAAATAGCAAAACTAGTAATACTGTACTATTATTTAAATATTGCATATTAGCAACAACCTTCAACATATTACTTTATAATTTTTCAATCATTTAAAGTTGAATTATCACTTAATATTTACATGAAAATTACCCTTCAGAGTTTGGGAGAGGTCATAAGGCACAATTATTTAAGCCTTCTGGTGTCACATGTTGGTGATATTTTTACTCCTATTCATAGAACACAGGTAACTTGAGCATCCTCTAATGGAATCTCCCTTTCAACAAAAGAATGACCACAGATCTCCATTATTCAACAATTAGCGTCTCTTTTATTGTCAAAATTTAATCTCGGGGGAACTCAAACTAATGAAATATTTTTACTCCAAAATACTTAATACAATGAAAACCTTCCATCAATTTATCTAAAATTAAGTCAGCAATAAATAATGTGCTTCTAATATATTATTGGTTAAATTTGGAGGACATGTGAAAACTGTGAAAAAATTCCTGCGTTCATAGAAATTAGCATTTAGCCAATATATGAAAATTTACAAAGTTTTAAGATAACAAAGACCTAAATAAGATACAGTGTAAATGTATCAAATAAGCATTAGTTTAATAGGAGTGGTTAAGTAGTATAAGAATAAAAGATGCAGCAATGTGATACTGGGCTGTGGTAGACACAAAGGTATGAATGATTCAGTGAAGAGCACACTGAGCTTAAATAAGGAGAATGGAGGAATCACACAACATGTATGGAGACAGTCAAACAGAGTTCAGAGGAAAAGAAAGGACGGTCCAGGCTGTGATATATAGAACAGAGAGGGAGAATGCTGGAATCTCAGTTGGGAAGGTAGTCTAAAGCGATGTGAAAGGGTTTCCCCCACACCGTAAACTTAATTCATTCTAGTTCTCTACTTAAAAATCATTTTATTTGATATATTATTGATGAAGTTCACTAGATGGCTCAGAAGAAGCAAGAGAATTCAAAGAATTAACAATCCTCAGAACTAATTTCCTACCTCAGCAGGCAGAGCAACCATAGCCACCCTGAGGATGCAGCTCTGGAAATGGCTTCTTGATTTAAAAGCAACTGTGAACTAATTACTTTCTAAGCAACTCTTGGGCAATGTGAATTATTTTCCTTAAATTTACTAAAACAAAATGAGAAGTTAGAAAGTAAGTTGAGTAGGAGATTTAACTTTTGCTAAAACCATAAGACACTCTGTAAACAGTAGTGAAAAGCTATAAAGAACTGAACTGAACTGAAATCACATGTCTTCCCCACAAAAACGGCAAGGTCCTCTTCCTGCTGCTCGCTGAAGTGCACACACAGGTGTCAGACAAAGCAAGCACTTAAACTGTGCCATCCCCCAACACACACACACACACACACACACACACACACACACACACACACACACTTGAACCTGTAAGGTTGCTTTACAATAATAAAAGGTACTGCTCTACTCAGGAGAGATTTTGTGCTTCTCACAGATTCCAAACCAAAGCTAAACATAGACTCTTAGCATTGATCAATGGAAATAAATGGTATCCACAAAAACTCTCCTGTTCTAGCTACAAATCACTCTATAACCTCAACCACAATGGCTAAGTTTAAACTACTGTCTTTTTCCAGAAATATTCTGAGACAAAGAAAACATTATTTAGCATATTCATGATCATAAAGAATTTAGTCACACTTGGCCTCTTTGTATAAAACAACAAAAAACCTTCATCTCTTAATATTTTAGAGTTGAAATACTTTATTTTTCTCCTTTGAATCTCCCAGTTTTTTAATGTTCAGAATTTACTGGTGAACCTAAATTAAATTTACGTATATATAACTTTAAAGAGTTTCTATATGATCAATTACTTAAATGACAGTCAAATCTTTTAATCTAGATATCTAGCTTGACCTTAAAGAATGGGCAAACAAGTTATTAAGTTCCAAGAGAAAATCTACAGCAATTAGAGGCAAGTTATTCCATGAGAGGGTTTTGCTATAAGGAAAAAGATAAATTGGTATATGTGTGGGGGGAGAGAATGGAGGGCAGTAATGACAACAAAGTATCCTCTGATAAATCATAAAAATGGCTCATTACATCCCTAAATCATATGACTAGATAAAAATGTGAACTACTCTCCTTGGACTGAACCAAATACTTGGAAAATAAGCTACATCTAACCACCTCCCTGAAAGACGGCAGGGAAAGATAACAAATCATATAATACTAATTTCTTAATGAGAAGATCAGGGAGAGAACTCTCAAGTGCATAGGTAGAATAGGTCTGAGGT